AGACAATGCACCATCACACAACGCATCTCAAACATCAGAGTTTTTAGTCGCTTCACGAACGGAATTGATGACTCATCCGCCTTATAGCCCCGATTTGGCACCTTGTGACTTCTTTTTATTCCCATACATAAAAGACAAAATGCGTGGATTGAAATTTAACACTCCGGAAGCGGCTGTGGAAGCCTACGAAAACTTCGTTTCTGAGATGACTAAAGAACAATGGGCCCAATGTTTTCAGAACTGATTCCATCGAATGCAGAAGTGCATAGATAATAAAGGCGAATATTTTGAAAAACAATAAAAAAATTGGTTAAAATAATTGATGTTTTCTGCATTATCCGCAAAACTTTTAAAGCAACCTACGTATGTTCACTATATCCGAGCCTTACAGCTTGTATATATTTTTACATCATCTTTGGCAAAGAGGTTCCTACCTCAAGATTGACGCCGACTTTGTTTGATCAACCTATTCTTGCTCTTGTATGTACTTGAAGATGGCTCCAAAGGAGAGGAAATGTCTACGAATATACGAAATTATAAACTATTTGTTGAAATTATTTTTTATTGCGCTCCATTTACCACGCCGACTCATACACGCCGCGATACCAATATTATATTTATACTTTCAACAAGTCTTACTTTTTTTCTTATAATTAATAATACCTGATAAATTAAGTTTTTCATAGCGGCGTATTACTTTATGAAGTGACATATATTATTTTTATCCGGTTTCAATTAAATTTTACCATCATTCTCTTACTATTTGAAACCATTTTAGGATTGGCAAACAAATATCCCAAAAACTTTTTTATTAATTTTATAAGTAAAGACCATCCTATATCTATGTGTATATTAAAATTAGTACTTTATTTGTATTAATTTCTTATTCTTTTCATTTAATAAATTTCGATTTTTTTCAGCTAGAGATACTTTTGGCTCAATAGCTATGACCTTTGTTATATACGTATCATGTAACTAAAAATATTTTTATAAATGCTTAATAATTTTTGTTTTTTTAGGCTAATAATATTTCTGTAAAAGAGATTTCTTGTGGTTGTATACCTTTTCATAGCCGTTACATCAAACCTGCTATGGTTAAGTTAGAAGAATATTTGAATCAAATATTACCACAAAGAAAGTTTCGTAGCTCAAAATGGCTGACTACATCTGTTCATGAATGTTCAAATGCGCCTTTAATTTTGTGTTCAAAATATTATAGAAACCATTTATTATCTCCGACATTATTTGCAAAAGCGATATGTCTGATTCCTAGAGATACGGTAACAATTGAGATCTCACCTCATAATATGCTTCAATACATTTTAAAAGATTCTTTATGTTCCACAATAACAAATGTAGCGCTATATCAATGTACCGAAGATCATAGTAAGGAGATATTTTTAGAAACTATCGGAAAACTTTATAATGCAGGATTGCAGCCACAGATTGCAAATTTGTATCCAGCAGTAGAATTTCCTGTAAGCCGTGGTACACCAATGATTTCTCCTCTTGTAAGGTACAGTAGACATTATCGTGAGTACAAATAAGCAAACTACGATTGACAAAAATTTTTATGGACTTTGAAACATTTAAACAAATTAATTAAAAGAGATATCTAATAAACAATATGATATTGGATTTTTTATCTTTTTCTCCAAATTTTTTAAGTCTGTCGTCTGATATATACAAGGTGTCTGATTAGGTGTAATACTGCTCATGGGTCAGTAGAACGGACTAAATAGAAAAGTTCCGTACTATTTTGTTTGCGATTTTCGCAACAGTTAAATATAATAGATATTAATTTATAAAAATTTACGAATCAGTATGTGTCTGCGCGATTTGGCGACAGTTAAGAGGGGAGCCTGGTTTAGCACGCTGAAAAATTAGATGACTTTTTTGAATTTTTTTTAGGAAACTATTCAATCAATCCATTTGAACTTTATAGAGTAATTTATTATACTCGTACTATTGAACTAACAAAAAAATATTTTTTGCCAGAAAAAAGTATTTATTATGTAAATAATAATAACATTTATTCGGCGGTTATAACTTGAACCACTGTTTATAATAATATTATTTAATTAAATTATTTTTATTGCATAATAAACTCGAAAAATTTGCGTCAAAATCGCTACTTTTTTTTCCAAGTGTCGCAATTTTCACAATTATTTTCTTTAAAAGTAGGATCAGTTTATGCGTAAACTTTTATAAATAAACAGTAATCTTTTTACATTTTTTGTTTCAGACAAATACAAGCGATGCTACATTTCCTGCCGCAAACACCATCACCGCCGATGCGCCAAATAAATGTTATATTGCATAATAGATACTTCTTTTCAGGGGAAAAAAAAAATTTTTTTGTTTGTTCAATAGTATAAGAAATTACTCTATAAAGCTCAAAAGAATTTATTGTATAATTTCCTTTAAAAAATTTCAAAAAATCACCTAATTTTCAGCGGGCTAAACCAGGCTCCTCTCTTATGAATTGTGATAGATCAATCGTTAAGAAGAGAGTTGATTAGTTAGGGAAAATCGAAAGTCGATTTTCATCGTTTTATACTTACCTTTGATAGCAGCGATTAGGAAGAAGGATTCATGATCTTTTGTATACATCAAATGAATCGAATTTGTGTCCATTTTAATAAAGACACTAAAGCATCACTTCTAGTTTGGTCGATCCCAAATTTGTCCTTTAAGACGGATGAGCAGTGAACCAGGGATTGAAATTGAGAGGTTCTTATTCCGTAATTCAACGCAAGTTACATAATGGACGTACTCGCGAGGTTGGTTGGCTCAACTCAAGCAAATCATACGTAGTTACGCGATTAAAATAGGTGCGTACATATGAAGCAAAGAGAACAAGCACAAAGTATCTCGTATACTGTTGGGCCGTATTTATAAATAATGTCGGCCGTGGTTAGGTGGGCACAAGAGCGAATTGATATGAAACGTACTAATAACTTGAATAATATAACATTTCTTCTTGTATGTACGTTACAATCACAGAGCACGTCTAAACGGGAATTCGTCCAAATAGTTTTTACCGTTTCTTAGTCTTGAAACTTAAGGCCGAAAGCACATAAAATACATAACAAACACTGTTAGAAATGTTCAAAAAATTCCGTCATATTCAAAGGACTGAAGTAACTCAATTTTATGAAATTAGGTTGCTGAAAATGAAAGAGTGACCAAAAAAATCGCTCGTTTTTTGAACTCTCGATTTTGAGACTGAACTGTGTGCCAAATAATATCTTATAATGAGACATTAATTATAGAGAAATTTCAAGTTGAGATGGCAATTGTGATCAGAGCTGGAGGAGAGGCAGTTATGAAATCAAATTAGCTAATTATGAAATTATCACATGTCTGCGAGGTCCGGTATTTTAAGAAAGTTGATCCAGCCGATGAAAGCTAATCGCAGTTTTACGTAAATGATGCTCGTTTTATAAAGAGTCGAATTTTTGCGTAAAGAGACGTAATAAATAACTCTCCTCCAGCTGTGATAACAATTGTCACCACAACTTGAAACTTCTCTATGATTAATATCTCATTATAAGATACCATTTGGCACACAGTCAAGTTCTAAAATCGAGGTCTCAAAAAAACGGGCGAAAAAACTACTTTTTTGGGTCACATTTAAAACAAATAACCTAAATTTTCTTCAAAATTCCAATATTGTATCTTAGAATTATAAATAATTTCTTAAAATTGGAATTCTAGTTACAATATTTTAAATTTTCGTTACCATTTAGTAATTTTAAGAAACTGTTTATAATTTTATGGGGATGCTGGAAGATCGGAATTACCGACACATTACAGTCGTAACGATAACTTCGAAATGACTGAATAGAATTAAAAACGCTTTTACAGGAAATAGACATATAATGTAAATGCGCCAGCTACGAATTTTTGCAGTTAAAACGAAAAAAGAATTAAAAAATTACTTTTTTTTCGGGTCGTACAGTTATCACCTGACGTAAACATTTTATTGGTATAAAAGTTTTGTAGCTCATATGTGCAAAATTTGTAACTCGCACGCATCGGATTACATGAACGAATAATACAAAGCCTTTTAAGCTATGATTGAAGTAAAAAAAAAGATATCGTTACGATTGCAATTTATAATAATTCGTACACTTAGCTATAAGATACAAAACAGTAAAAAACAAAAATTGCGTCTAGCAGTAAGTGCCGGATTTTGCAAGAGATGGCGCTTTAATATGTTAGATAAGGACAATATTCGTGTTTGAGTGAGACAGAACGATATTTTAAGTTCATTTAAAGATATTACTGAAAAAGAAGAGTTCGTTTTATCGACCTCGTGCAAATTTAGTCGACCTTACAGAATCCTTAAGATACAAAATCAGAATTTTAAGAAAAATTTAATAAATTTGTTTTAAATGTTACTAAATTTCATTTTCAGCAACCTAATCTTGTCAAATTAAGTTACTTCAGTACCTTAAATCTAACGGAATGTTCCGAACATTTCTAACAACGTAAGCATGGCATAAGACGGCTAGATAACGAGAATTATATGTAAATCAATACGACTTTATGCTGGCTACTTATTGATCCAGTGGTCTTATGTTATGCTTATATTTTGTTATGCATTTTGTGTGTTCTTGGCCTAAGAAAAACGAAAATCAATAAAAATGATAAATAGTAATGTATCACTAAGGCCAATTGCGTGACAGAATTTACCATAGGATATAGCGCGCCATCTTACAATAACTCAAAAATCGTTAAACCGTGCAATTGGAAACTAAACATTCTACCCCTCTTGGAAAAAGTAAGGCTTTCAATTTAAACAAGAATATTATAATGAATCTGCTCGCAAATATAAATAGTTATACTCTCTCTTTACGCTAAATATATTAAAAAATTTTAAAAATACGGTAACGCTTATGTTAATCTTTAAAACGCATTGACGTCGCTATTACATTGTTTCAGCTCCTTCAAAAGGCAAGACACAAATCTTGATTATCACTAGCTTATAAAGACGACTAGTTCATATTACTACTCTAATCATCCCGTCAACACCGGGATGTACTTCGATAATCCGTTTCAAAGACCATACCATGGGAAACATATTTCTATTTTTTAAAATAACCGCAGTTCCTGGGCTTATATTCATGAAATTCATGAAGTTACATAGACTGTTTCCATTTACTTTGTTACGTCCAAACCCCAGGATATCTAATTTGGTTTGTTGAGTGAGAGAATGAGTCCTGTGTGCGAACGAGATAGGACTGGAAGTGGAGGGAGTAAGAAAGGACGCAACTAGATAAATTATCTCGCAGGTACGCACAGAGGCGCACTATGCGAGTCGAAGGCGCTTTAACGGATTAGGAAAATGAGTCAACGTCTTGAAAAGGACGATATTATTCATTTGTGCCAACCAGCGCGATTGTTGGTTCTGTTTTAGTCAGGGAACTTAATCCCTATGACTTGGAATCAGACCTGTGCGATTTCCGGGGCGGAAAGAGATGTGAGGCGGGTGAGGTCGTTTAATTAAAATAAAGAGAGTTGTATTTAAACATAACAATTGAGTTTATTACTCTCTAAATTGACATGATTCATAATATCCGACAAATTTGAATGTGATAATTAAGTAAATGAGTCTAGTAATCTAATTTAGGTTTACAATCGCAGTTTACCACTATCTTAATTAAGATTATGTTTCGCGTTTAGAGTTCAAGGCTTAGCAATTCGGAAATTATAAACAATAATCGAGATTATAATTACATTGACTAAAATACAAGAAGATGAACAGGGGAGTGAATGTTAAAAATTAATAAGATTATAAAACATTATGGATATACATACATACATATATACATACAGGGTGTCCTGTAACGCTTAATTAATATTTCAAGGCGTGAAAGAGAATGAAATTTTGAACTAAAAGTTCCTCTTTTAATTTTGGCTCAGACCATTATTTACAGAGTTATTAACAAATAAAGTTAATCAAT